GATCCTTCCATGGGCACATATAATTCAGCTTTTTTGGCCCAGTGGTTCCTGAGAAGAAGATTTTCAAAGATTTTTCCTATATATTTCTATGTAAAACTTTGATTCCCTGTAATGGCCCCGCCCTTCCCCCGAGGGTCATGATTCCTATAATTTAGAATTTACACTACCCCAGAATGCTTCCACATAAGTTTCAGCTTTTCTGGCCCAGTGGTTCTTGAGAAGAAGATTTTCAAAGATTTTTCCTGTATATTTCTATATAAAACTTTGATTCCCCATTGTGGCCCCACCCTTCCCCCGGGGGTCATTATTTGAACAATTTAGAATCTATATTATACCAGGATGCTTCCACATAAGTTTCAGCTTTTCTGGCCCAGTGGTTCTTGAGAAGAAGATTTTCAAAGATTTTTCCTCTATACACTGTAATTCTATGTAAAACTTTGATTCCCCATTGTGGCCCCCCTACCCCCGGGGGTCATGATGTGAACAATTTAGAATCTACACTATACCAGGATGCTTCCACATAAGTTTCAGCTTTTCTGGCCCAGTGGTTCTTGAGAAGAAGATTTTCAAAGATTTTTCCTAAATATTTCTATAAAACTTTGATTCCCCATTGTGGCCCCGCCCTTCCCCCTGGGGTCATTATTTGAACAATTTAGAATCTACATTATACCAGGATGCTTCCACATAAGTTTCAGCTTTTCTGGCCCAGTGGTTCTAGAGAAGAAGATTTTCAAAGATTTTTCCTATATATTTCTATATAAAACTTTGATACCCCATTGTGGCCCCGCCCTTCCTCCGGGGGTCATGATTTGAACAATTTAGAATCTACATTATACCAGGATGCTTCCACATAAGTTTCAGCTTTTCAGGCCCAGTGGTTCTTGAGAAGAAGATTTTCAAAGATTTTTGCTATATATTTCTATGTAAAACTTTGATTCCCCATTGTGGCTCCGCCCTTCTCCCGGGGGTCATGATTTGAGCAATTTAGAATCTACACTACCCCAGGATGCTACCACATAAGTTTCAGCTTTACTGGCCCAGTGGTTCTTGAGAAGAAGATTTTTTAATGACCCAACCCTATTTTTGCCTTTTCTTGATTATCTCCCCTTGCGAGGGGATATGTCCCTTCATTTTAACAATTTAAATTTCCCTTCACCCAAGGATGCTTTGTACCAAGTGTGGTCAAAATTGACCCAGTGGTTCTTGAGAAGAAGTCGAAAATGTGAAAAGTTTACAGACGGACAGACAGACGGACGGACGACGGACAAAATGTAATCAGAAAAGCTCACTTGAGCCTTCGGCTCAGGTGAGCTAAAAACTTAGAAATGCATCCTCTATGAAAATTGTTGCATATCCTCTATCATAATATGGAAGGAAAATCACAAAAGTTCCATATCAAGTCAATTTGTTTGAGGCTGAGCGGACTTAAGGGAAAGAAATTATGCAGCGAACAAAAACTTTAAAAGGAGAGGCTATTTTTTACCCTTGACCTAGAGACTTTGTTCAAGGTCATTGCACATTCACTGAGCAAGGGCACTCTGTGAGCGAAGTATGAGCAACATTGGACTAATAGGAGAGAAAATATGCTCCGAACAAGGATTTTCATATAATTCTGCTATGATTTTGAGATTTTGAGGGCCAGTCAAGAACATCTACATTGTTTTGAGTCAGGAAATCTCTGGTTGTTCGAGCCGTGAGTGTTGTTGCGTTGTCCTGCTGGAATGTTAAACCAGGACCATTGGTGCGAAGATACGGCAGTACAAATGTAGAGAGTATCTTTGAGCCGTCAGCGTATCGTTCACTACAACAAGTCTTGTCCGGTTTCCTCAACAAATTCCTCCCCAAACCAATACACTACCATCCCGAATCTGTCTACTTCCGTCACATAGCAACCAGCAAAAGGCTCTCCACGTCTCCTTCAGACGCGGGTTCTTCCATCGGTAAATTTCAAACTAAAACAAGACTCATCACTGAAGAGTACTCTGGACCAGTCTTGCAATCGAAAGCGCAAGTGATGCTGTGCCCAATTCCGTCGCGAATTTTTATGCCGATCTGTTAGTTCTGTCCCTTTGTACGGTCTACGGGCTCTCAAACCGCAATGCTTCAGTCGGTTTCGCACTGTCTGAGACTGAGGGCCAATCCTTCTCCCTAAAGCATCGTGAGCAGAATCTACCGCAGTTAAAAATCTGTTTCGCAGATGGAGCAAATGGATTTGACGGTCCTCCCTAAGGGTAGTAACTCTAGGTCATCAGTTGATCAAGTGGTCTGGAAACGTCGCCAGAGAAGATTGTCTTCCGAGTTGTTCTGACTGTCGCCGCAACAGCGTTTTTGGGACATACCTGCTTGGAGCATCCCTATGGAACGCTCACGTTTATCTTTGGACAATCGAGGCATTTCAAAAAACGCAGAAATTTAACCAAATTTTAGATTTTCTTTGAGGACTAAAGACAAGGATTTTCTACGCCAAGAATTGTACGGATACACGTGGTCTAACTTTCTCGAGCACGGGCTTTTCTCCATTGTGCTCACTTAAGAGTTAAAAGGTGTTACGCTTGAATGATCAGGAGGTTTTTTTTTATCACAACTGACTGTTGCTTAGGTCTCCTACATAGGACGTTTTGTTTTAAAAGTTAACGTTCAAATCTAAGTAAAACAAATGTATTTTTAGATATATACCTTTTTTTTGTTCAGTATATGATACAAAAGTGTTGCTCAAACTGAGACAAAAATTGCTTGAATTCCAAATTCTGATACAAAATTGTACAGATGAATTTCTGGGTTAAAGGCAGAACATTATTTTAAAAATATTCAAATCTTACCTATAGCTTTGTGATGCCAAGGCAACAGAAAAATTGTAAGATCTTTATTTGTGAAGAAACTTTTACACAGAGATACGTCAAAGGTATGGAGTTGCCACTGTGTACTATGTGGGCTAGCTCATTATTCATGTAATTATTTTGTCCGGTCCGTTGTCCCGACCCTATGCATGGTGATAGAGAGAAATGGCAATGTCAATGTTTCAGGAAAAACGTCCTCTTTCAAAATGATGAATGGTGGTAAACTTTAAAAACCATGCTTTAAATATGTACCTTGAATTTCTTGGCAGTTTTCACTGTGGTTCATCTCCATCCTTCTCCTTCAAGTGAATTCAAAACAAAGACAAGAGTAAAAGCATTCAAGGTGTTATTTATTTTATAAAACATGTTGATATAAAACATATCAACAAATAAATACCGGGGTAGTATAAAGACCAAAAACAGTCCACAAAATGTATTATATTTAAGGAATAACTGCCTTACTTTTCGATTTCATGATGTGATCAATCGCGCAAGCCAATCGATTGATCATTGTCATGACATTGAAAAATGAGACAGTTATTTCTTATATTTACATATATACTGATTCCGCCATTCCACGAGATTTAAGCCCAGCGTCTGTCTCTACATTTGTCCCGCCCCGCACGTGATTTTTCTTAACCGCGCCTATCGATGAACCAGCGCATTCATGAAGAAATAAAGTACATTAAGAACTATTTTATAAATAGAGAATAATACATACCCTTTTCCACATCACATCCTGTATATCCGCCCTCGACCAATATCAGCCAGAGGGCCGAAAATACCACATCACATCCTGTATCAGCCCTCGACCAATATCAGCCAGAGGGCCTTCGGCCCTCTGGCTGATATTGGTCGAGGGCTGATACAGGATGTGATGTAGAAAAGGGTATGTTTTATTATATTTATTACATACTTAGTAATAAAATACAGAACACATTGAGTTGAGAAGAAAGTAAATAAATAAACATGCACAGACTTCTTACAATGTACACGGTCTGTTGTCTCATACGGTTTTAGTTACTTATATTTCAAATGTCCCCGATTCTTAATTTGAAAATAATCAATTAATTATTCATTAGATTACATTCAAAAAGTTAAAATTAAGAAAATTATGTAACCCCCAAAATATGTGTATGATCACAAGTACAGTGTTTTTTTAGGTTTAATTTATTCAGTGTGTGATATTGATCCGTATCAGCCCTGCAAATTCATATCAGCCCCGCAAATCCATATCAGCCCTGCAGGGCTGATACGGCTATTGTGACGTCAGCCATATCGCATATGCAAAAAATCTGTATTTATTACTAAGTATGTAATATGTAATTTTATCTCGGACAAAAACATTGGAAATGTAAATATAAATGGATATTTCATCGAGAGAACATATCTTCAAGAAAACAAAGAAACTAACCGTCGTCTTTTATAATAGGTCCCAAAGATAACCAATTAAAGCCATAATTTTGCCTTTTGTCGGTAACATTAGCTTTTAAAGCACTATTCATTATTGTATTGAAACACAGTATTGATGAAATATTTTAGCATTTTTTTTCATACAAACTTGTACATGTACTAGAATACTTGTAAAAATTAGTTACTTTAAGCCGACCAGTGATTGCAAAATTCCTTTTGTTGATCTATTACTGAATAGCTTTTTTTTTATTAATTCCATTAAAACTATCCTACCCAAATAATGAAAAAAAACAAATTCATTAATAATGGTGAAATTTAGCTACATTTTCAAAATTTTATCATTACCGTCCTTTAATACATAAAAAAGTATACATTAGAACCTTGCCAGCCACATGGTAGTTGATCATAGGACCCGTTTACCCTGCTCACCACGGAGATGTCATGTTGTAAATTTTGAATTTACCACTTATTAAAAAAAAAATTAATATCAAGCATTTATTAAAATTTTTTTGTCAAACTTTCATAAATGAAAGTTTTATTAATTCCATTAAAACTGTCGTTTTTAGCTTTAGTTCCCTTTTTTGTGCTGTGTTGTTATGTTGTTATTCTCTTTTGGGAGAAGTTTCTTGCAGGCCTCAAATAACTTTTTGTCATGCAAGTTTCAAAAAACTTTCTTTATAAATTATACTATAATTAATGATGATTAAGTGGACTATCAGAGTATACGAGTACTAAATTATTAATTAGAAGAAGAAAGTTGTTTTTTAAAAAGAGTCAACGTAAAGATACAAGCATGAAAATATACATCTGTCATCAATATGATGTACAAAAACTCGAAGAGATTTTATATATTGTGAATGTGGCCAGGGTAAACACTCTTCATAAACTATTGAATATTATTGTTTTATATTCTCATTCTACTTTTCATTATATTAACAAAAAGGATAAAAAGCTCATACAGTAACTTTATAATATAGATTGTGTCTTTTCAAGAAATTCGCAATTAAACTTTTTTTTAATGGAAACTAACAGAAAATAAAATACGGACACACACATCAGCTTGAATATTTTTGCCAGAGTCGCCTCGTCACTAAACGGGGGACGTAACGCTATCCATACTTAAAATTCAATTAAGAATTTTAAGAAGGAAACTAAATGTATTTTATACCCCAATAAACTTCATGAAATAACACAACAGTCATTTAAAGCTTTCAGTTCTCCGTCTCGGGGAGAGAGGCCCTCGGCCGCCCTATCTCTCACTATTTCCATGGCTTCGGCTTCTGGTATACCAGGATTTTTTTTCATGTAATCTTTTTTATCTTTTTCAAGAATTCTGGTTGCTTTTTCATAGTACTTATGTGTGTAATGTTCTTTACCCTTTCTAGAATTTTCCTTGATTAAGTTTGTAAGCATATCATCAAATTTTTTAACACATTCTGAAGGTATTTTCTTTTTACTGTCCCCAAATATGACGTGTCTAGCATTGCATTTTACGTTCAATTCAACAACTTCTGGGGCCTCTGACATCATTTCTGTTAGTTGACTTTCGTCATCTTCTAATTTGGAAACAACCAGGATCATATATGTAAACGCACTTTCTCCTAATAAATTATCGAGAAGTTTCAGCATCTTAATATCTTCTGCTGTTATCCGTTCATCCGCTGACAAAACCAAGACAATGGCGTGAAATCCTGGTGACGTGCAAAACAAACATCGTCTAATATCTGTTTCTACATCGATACCCGCATCTTTGGGTGAACTCATTCCTGGTGTATCATATACTCGATACAGAAAACCATTCCTGGTCCCCACGCCGTATTCACACCTCCTTGTGACAGATGACCAACATCTTTTACTTTCAAAACGCTGCTTTCCTAATATTCCGTTTCCGGTATGACTTTTACCAGCTCCGATTTTTCCAATAAGAACGACTCGTCTTTCTTCAGGTTCAGCCTGACTGTTCATTCCTTTTTCTTCAGAAAATACTGCCGCCTGTGCTGCAGCAATCTCTGAAATACAGAGTGGATTTTTCTTTAAATTACTAAGTATTTTCATGATTAATTAATTTTAATATTTTTTTCCGGTCCTGGCCAATTCTGAGTATAAAGCAAAACAAACAGATGTGTTCGTAAACACTAGATGATGCCCCCATGCAAGACAAAGGCCAAGGTCAAGAGGTAAAAAATGTTAATATCTGTAGTGCATGAAGCCCAAAAACCACCCATTTAAGAGATACATGTATGACAAAAATTGAAGGCTTTTAAAAAGTGAAACAAACTCCAAGGTCAAAGGGTAAAATTTAATGGCACCCATGGGAAGGTCTTGTCACAAGAAATATACATGTAAGATATAAAAGTCCTAGCAGCAATTGCTCAAATGTTAGAATCTCCTTTGCTAGCAAGGTAAAAAAAATTTTTCAAAATTCAAGTAAAAACTCAAACTGTCCAAAAGTCAAAATGTTGGGTTTTTCAGAAGTGCTAAATCATGAATATTTTATGGATCACAAGAGAGAAATGCTAAAAAATCAAATGTAATTGCTCTAGTATATTTTTTATAAATCTAGAGTTGAAAAAACCCTAAATATGGCCAAAATTATAGTTTTTTAAAAGTGACCTTGAACTTGCATAAATGATTTTGGTTCAAAATATTTATACACAAGAGAAGCAATGTTTGTGTCAGTAATAAATTTTTACTTAATAAAGTCATAGCATCAGACTGAATTATAAATTTTTCTTCCAGTAAAGTTTGAACTTCCCCAAAAGACCCAAGGTCAAACATCCTTAGGTCATAAGCAATCTTTGTGTGAAATGAGAACTTACAAAGTTTAAAGATATGGACCAGACACAAATTATGAAATTTTTCTTCCAGTGACCTTAACCCCCCAAAAGTTAAGGGCAGGTCATGTTAACAATCTTTGTGTGAAATTAGAACATACCAAGTTTATCCAGAAGAAATATATGGACCGGACACGGAATTAAAAATTTTTTCCTCCAGTGACCTTGAACTTCCCCAAATGACCTTGGGTCGAGGTCATTACACACTCTTAGGTCATGGGTAATCTTTGTGTGGAGTAGTAGATTCTAATGTTCTTTAATTAGTGACAGGAAAATGCATACATTTTACAGCTGACCCGGTCATTTCAAGGTGATTCCTTATGAAAGATTATGAATAAACTTTAATAAAAGTGAGATAAAGGCCCTAGTTAGGAAATTTGGTTTGTAAAAGTATATCATTTATAACTAGGTTCACATAGGCGAAAAAAAATATATTGATAGACCGGAGAGCTACAGTGCCACCCATTGAAAAAAACTATATTTATTGCGCACAAAAAAGTGCGCTCGGTTCTTAATTAATTTTTCCAAATTCTTACCTCAATTGCAAATAAGGAAAGATTTCAAAAAACAGCTATTTTGAATTAATATCAATATATAGTTGTGTAGAAAAATTGGAATTGAAAATAAACGAAATGTTTGATTAAAAAAAGTTGGCTATTAACAACAATTATGAGGAATGTTTGGTTGTGGAAAACTTCAAAAAGGAAAGAATATGTTAGGAACACACGGTTAGTAATACACAAATATTAAAAAACATGGAGAAATCTTCGAGAACCAAGGCACTCTTTTGTGCGCAATAAATATACAGTTTTTTCCATGGGTTTACTGAAAGTCTCAGGTCTATCAATATATTTTTTCGGAGAGCAAAGATGTTCTGCAGGAGTGTGTCCGTATCCGTAGAACTGTTCCATTTCACTGATGTCATGTACAAATGAATATGATCCTTTTAAAAAAGTGTACTGAGAATAACGTTTCAAGTAAAAAAAAAAAACATAGTGGGATAAAGGCCCTATTGAGAAAATTGGTTTCTCAGAGCAAAATGTCATTTATAACCCACTTGTGTTCCTGTCCGTATCCGTAGGACTGTTCCATTTCACTGATGTCATGTACAAATGAATATGATAGCAACTATCGAAGAGCAATCCAGCATCTGCATTCAATAAATATTCTTTGAAATGGAACAAGTTTCTGAAAGAAAATGCTTTCACTGCGTCCCTCTCGAGAATTTTTCACTCATATGGAGACGCCACCATGCACTTGCCGGTGGAGAGCTGCAAATTTTGTCCTATACTCGGCAAGGCAGAAGAAAAAAGAATGCTTCATTTTATATACAAAAAAAAGAGAGAGAGAGAAACAGAAAAAAAGAATATTAAACAAAGATGCTTGTAAAAAAGAACTTACATGTACTTAAATAATAACACATCAAACAATAAAGAAGATGGGGGGGATAAGGCGGGCGAAGTGCCTATAGTGCGATAGATAAGTGAAAAATTTAATCTTAATTAAATATAAATTTTATTTGATATTTCATCTAATATTAAAGTATTCTTTATGTAAAATCTCTACAATTTACAAAAATCTCACAAAAACCGAAAATATTTGCCTATGAAAAAGCTTACGCACACTAAAAAGAACAAAAACGATCATTTTCTCGTACTTTAACAAAATTTTTAATATGATTGGGTCTTCGCTCCATTTTTTTGAAAGATGATCCTAAAAGTTTGCAATAAAATACACAATTTTTTTTAAAAAAATAACCCACTATACCTTAAAAGTACACTTTTATGACACAACATTCGCATCTTTCTGAGAAATACTTCAAGTCCATTAGTCCCAAAGCAGTATGCTATTGATACATTTTTAAATATGAATACCATCTATTAATTTTATGAAAGAAAAAAGACATAATTTCAAAAATTTCAATAAATAGAAGTTAATTGAAATACTAACACATATTGAATAACAATAAAATTCTAAATCTTCTTCTAAACGTTAAAAAGCCTTTTCAATATCCATAGCTATAATTAGGTACAAGAAGGACTTCCAGAATTTAATAGCCATTGAAAAATCTCATGTTATGTAATTCCTCTGAAATTTTTTGAGGAAAATAAATGATCAGTACTTAAAATTTCTTAAACTTGTATACGTTTCACTTGAAACTCATCTCCCCGAACAGTTACAACAACCCTATTTTAGCAAAAATACAAACACCATGGTGAGCATGCAAAATGCTTGTTTACCAGCAGGTATTCTAACAGGAGTAATTTATGCTTATGTTAATAAAAGAAATCTAAGTCTACCATTTCATTATATTTTCTCATCAAAAGGTCAGCCATAATCGAATGGGGAATTTTTTTTTTATTTCTGAAAAGAAATGTTACAATAAAAATGCCAAATGCCTGTAATCAAATCGTTGCTAATAAATGTAGTAGTAAAGGTCCTAAAGGTCACGTTCGAATCCAAATTAGAATTAAAAGAATGCATCCTTATTGTTATGATCTATGTATGTTTGTTCAAAATGGGAATTGCACATAGCTTTGTCGATCTGGGTACATACCTCTAAATTTTTTAATAAGTATAGAGGAAGAATGTAGTGCACTAAATGAAACGGTTCCTGAACTTGCAATCAAAGGTGTACTAAAACGATATAGTTCTTGAAATTGAGTTTAAAATTGGTAAATCATGACATCTGAACTAAAGTGATTGAAAGTACAGAAAAATCCAGGCCACTCTCAAAACCATTTTCAGTTTTGAAATATCCTTGAAAAGAAAGGAATTGTTTGATGTATGCATACCTTGGAAATTTTCCACTTTTAGTTTCATTTTCAGATGTTTTGAAATTGGGGATATTCTGCCGGGAAAAGGATCTAACATGTCACAGAGAGAGAGAGAGAGATTTCAGAGCTTTCATTTTAGGGGCTGGCCATAACTTAAACATTCAATGTCGCCAAGTAATTGGTTTATAGAGGACGCTAGCAATTGATAAGTGGACTGTTACAAGATTTTAACCTGGTCACTTGTCAATAAACCGTTGTCATTTGAAGTATGTGAAACCTTATTTGATCAGATTTAAAATTCTCAATAATATATCAAAATTCCAAAGCCATGATCGGGTCATAATTTTAGCTTCCTCTAATATTACAAGAGAAGTTATGATAAGAAAAGTATGACAGAGAAAACAATGAACTATACTGTAGATTGTACACATGTATTTATTTATTATTGTAAGAAAAACCAACCTGATGCCTTAAAAGATTCAAACGATGCATCCGTTTCTTCAGAAGTGGCCATCATGAATCTAAGAAAATTAAAGTTCAGATGTATATTTATTTAAAAATCTTAGCTTTCTTCTAACTTGAAGAAGAGAAACGAATCTGAAAATACTGTAATACCAGCATTCAAACAGTAAATATTGGAAGATAAGAAAAAAAATCACCGAACTGTGACGCTTATGTGAATATATTACGGGAACAGTAAGGTTAGTGTAGTAAGATAAACGAGATTTCTGCTTCATGTCACAAATGTTCCTCCCAGGCATGCAATGAAATAATACTTGCAGTTATAAATTTTTGCCTTTCTCTGTTTCTCATTGTATTTATTTTCTCTATAAAAAGCCTTTTACCTACTTGAATTTAAGTAGAGTGTACTTACTGGAGGACGATGCTTTCGGTGTCTGTTTAGGTGTGTAGAGGTCACTTCTCGGTAGCTCTGTGAAGATTCCAGACGAAGATTCCTCCGCGCCTGACTCATCACTGACTGCAGACGAGCCATATGTGAGGAGTTCTCTTTACCATGCAGTGAAAACAGGGAAAATATTGAGGTCACTAGATGTAGAAATGTTACAGTTCTTCCAAAAGATGGATTTATGTCGCTAACAAAACACTCGGTATGTAGTTGATATTTTTCTATTAAATAAACACCTCGACTTTACAGAGGCCTATAATTACAGTGACTGTAGGCGTTGTGTGTAGTACATGTTTGAACATAAAATGTGTAAATGTATGGTGTTGATGGCCACAACAGTGCTTTCCTTGTCATTTCCTATTGCGTTTTGGAATCATTATTATATTGTATTCTTGTTCCTGAAGAACATGGTATCACTGAATTATTAGTATTTTTTTCAGTATATCCCATCTATTCATATACATTATAAACTATTGATTCCTGTGTTATAAGGTGGGGTAGCTTTCCCTTATCATGGATTATTTGGAATTTCAAGGCAGAACAAGATGTGTATGTGAAACACTATGTCCCCAATGGTAACAGAATTCTGGAGTGGGACGTAGACTGATTTCACAGACGGACTTACTTTGTTAAATATTTTCCCTTGCAAAGGGTCATTACTTTTTCCTCCAAATACAAGTCAATTGGATTTTTTATACCGCTGGATCGGAAGATCCCGAGGATATTGTCCTGTCTGTTGTCAACTTTAACCTAGCCCATAACTATCAAGGGTAAGGGTTTACCATTTCAGCAAGATGTGTTTGTGAAACACTGATACTCCCGTATGGCAGCTTATGGCAAGGCTTGAATTTTCTCAAAGGCATGTCAAACTCCAAAGGTCAAGGTCAAAAGGTCATGTGTTGGTAACCAAAGGAAGGTCTTGTTACAAGGAATATGCCTGTGAAATATGAAAGTCTTATTTCTAACTGTTCAAAAGTTATGACCAAGGTTCGTTTTTAAAAAGTTGGTCAAACTCTTAGGTCTTGGTCAAAATATTTATACCAGCTGAAAGGTCTTGTCACAATTAAATCACATGTGAAGGATGAAAGCCCTAGCTCCAACTGTTCAAAAGTTATGACCAAAGTTAAAGTGTGATATTTTTTAAGTAGGTCAAACTCCAACGTCAAGGTCAGGCGGTCAAATTTGGTGGTTCCCATGGAAAGGTTTTGTCACAAGGAATACACCTGAGAAATATGAAAGCCGTAGTCCCACCCACCCAATCATTATGGGCTAGGTTAAAATTGACAACAGACAGACAGAGAGAAAAACAATATACCCCCGGGATCTTTCGATCCGGGTGCATAAAAAATCGTTTCATGAAACAAAAAGATAAAACTTGAGTAAAAAGTTAATATACCGAAGATTCAAGTTTGTTCAAATCATTTGACCCTGATGATAGGTCGGAACCACATTAGGTGATTAAAGATTTATATAGGGAATATCTTTAAAAGTATTCTCAAGAACAGCAAAGCCATAATTTATATAATTTATTATAGTTATTATGAAGCATCCGCAGCTGGAACAGGTAATGAAGATTCAACAAGATATGTTTGTGAAACACTATGCGCCCGGTGGCAACAAAGTACGATAAAGCTATTTTTAGCTTATAGCACACAGTCAAGGTCACAAGGTCATTGACCTTGGTGTCATTTGAAAGAACTAAATTAATTATGGAGTAAGCATGCTAAATATGTAATCTCTATTTCCTATGGTTCAACAGTTATGGCGAAAGTTCGGAAAAAAAACTATTTTTAGCATATAGGTCAAGATGACAAAGTCATCGACCTAGGAGTCATTTGAAAGAGCTTAATTAGTGGAGTATGCATACCAAATATGAAGTCTCTATCTGTCACGTTTCAAAAGTTATTGCGAAGGTTATAGTTGACAACAGAAAGACGGACAAACAGAGAGGACAAATTAGCCACTGATCATTCATGTGTACAGTATCTTTATTTGGAGCTCTTATAAATGAGATCAAATTAGTCTAAAACGGCCTCAACCCCTCAACCACCCAGACCTCAGAGGCTCTTAACTTTGATTTCTGTCAAGTAAATCTGTCAATTTTTTTATGTTTAGTTCAAAGGTCATTTGATCTCTGACCTTATGGTTCACAAATCAACATGGGCACTGTAAAGCGGAGCATCCCCTCTCAGGGAGTATACGTATAAATCAAAGAAGCATTTAACAGCTGTTTGACATCGATCCCGGTGCAAATTATGTCATCCGTTTCGCACAAGGACAAACTTGCACACTATCGCCAAAGTATATCCCCTCCAATCCGTTACGAGAGGGATTGTAATAAGCGTTAAGTGCTCCATACAGGGAATCGGTGTACCAAGTTGTTGTCAGTCAAGAAAACAAAGGGTTTTCAAGATATTGAGCAAACAGCAGCTTCTTTCTCATAGGCGCTTGGGTCAAGGATACTGTATATTTTCTATATAATGCATTGTCGAGGAAATTCGAACTTACTCGTAACATTTTTTTTCAGTGTGCAGTGTTAATTTTTAGTTTTTTGTAAACCTTTGTTTCATATAGAAATTAGTTTATGCACGCTTTAAAAATTACATATCCCACTGTATACTAAAAAGCAAGTCAGGGATATGTAATTTTTAAAGCGTGCATAAACACGTTCTAGTGTATATGAAGCACAAAGGTTTACAAAAAACTAAAAATTAACACTGCACACTGAAAAAAAATGTTACGAGTAAGTTCGAATTTCCTCGACAATGCATTATATAGAAAATATACAGTATCCTTGACCCAAGCGCCTATGTTCTTTCTTAGTAGTTTAACGTCATCCTCGCAAGCCAGGGGCCATGAGTCAACACGTTGCCGTTAGACTACAGCAACGTGTTGACTCAGGGCCCCTGGCTTGCGAGGATGGTTTAACGTTGACCTTTGGCCTTGTGATTTTAAAATCAAAAGGGGTAATTTACAGTGTAAACCAATACACCAAGTTTGATGTCTGTCAAATAAAGGATTCTCAAGATATTGGATGAACAATACTTTGTCTACCGACTGACTGACCAAAGGGGGCTATAAATGAATCACGTTAGCTGACTTTCTTCTCGTGTAATTATTGCTAATTAGTACAATTCTCTGTTATCCTTGGACTTTCAGTAAGACTTGGCATGAACGACGTGACATAATTAGCGTTTGAAATTTACACAGTCTTTCATTCACTGTTGAAATATACATGGTATAGAAATTCGGACGAATGTCAACAAGTGTAGCAAGGATCCAATGATAACGTTTCGTACGGCAAAAGGTGGGGCTTAAGTCGTGACATCATAGTCAACAAAAGTGTAAAATTGCTGATGTTATTAAAATTTCTTAACCAATGGGGATCTTTGTCGCCATTTGAGAGACGCTTATTACGTAGCGTCGAGTATGCCTGGCCTTACTGAAAGTCGATGACAGTGAATTGTACTAAATTTTAGGAAGAAATAAAAATTAGACCACTTAACAAATAATAGAGGAGCTTAAAAATCAGTTACCCGAAATGCTGAAAAATTCTTATCAATATTATATACTGATGCTTTTATACTATTTTATTTTTTACAGAATTAGGTCTAGAGATGGAAATGTCGGAATTAAATGAAAAGACACAACCGGAAGTCAAGGTCTTACGAGTTCTTGTCGTTGGAGGTGTAGGACATGGGAAAAGTTCCTTCATTAACAGTATGTTGGGAGAGGACAAGTGTACTGTCGGCAACTCTTGGGGAGTGGACAAGACAATAACGAAAGAAGTACAAGAATATGACTGTAAACGAAAGGATGACGTAATGACCTTCATAGATACGCCGTCATTAAGTACACTGGCGTCAAGTAGTAAATTCAGGGACCTTTTCAAAACTGGATTTCATGCAGTTGTGATTGTCATTTCCATAAAATCAGTCACACAACCTCGGACTCCTGTGTTAGAACAAGTAAAAAAAATATTTGGAGGCAAAGTTTTTCAATATGCCCTGGTTGTTTTAACGTTTGGAGACTATTTGGGAGACACGACAATTGAAGAATTTTCAAATGCTAATGCTGACTTGAAGGATTTCATTGAAAAAATGGGGGACAAGCCTGTTGTAATAACGAACACACTTGAAAAGGATAGCGCCGAAGCTAATGACCAGAAAACTCGGTTTTTTGTTTACTTGGAATCTGTACTCAGAAAAAATGAAGACACGCTGAAAGAGAACGGACCTTGTTCGAATTTTTGTTCGTGTTGCAGAAGGTGTTGTGATTGGTGTATAAAAATCTTTAACAACATGGACGGCTGAACTCAACCAAAAACGAACAGTATATAATACCAAAGGCGGATTCAGTTGATAATTCCGAAATTTTATCTATATCTTGTGTCTTGTATAAAACTTGAACTATAAATAAACGTATTTTTATAAAATATTTAAAGATAAAATTACCTGTTAATGAATTATTTTTCTTGACATTCCACTTGTATATATAATTGCAAGATGCGCTTGAAGTGAACATAATAAAACATTATTCACATTATATATCTTTTAAAACATAACATTAATTTAAAATCTAAAAGCTAAGGATGATCTATAATGAGTCAAACGTAATATAAAACGATTTTTTAACAGCATCGTTCATACAGATCTCAAAAAAGTTATGATGGCAACATGATCTTACAGATATCAAAAAGGGACATGGCATGTACAAAGTAATCGGCACGAGACGGATCGAGAAGTTGGCTGAGTCCATCTCCTTTTAAAAATAAACATTTGAATAAATTGTTGTTGAAACAAAATAAATACATGGCTTTAGGGATATCCGATACTCGCCCAAGAAGGATAACTCTTTAATCTATAATTTAATTCAAAATGTCTCAAAATGAAGCTTCAAATTAAATTGAAGTATGTATTTTTATGCAACAATATTCTTTTTATGCATCTCAGTGTGATCCAATGTTTTAAAGAAACCGAATTTCCTACACTCTAGTCTTAGATATCAATGTTTAATAGCTTGATATGAAATTATAGGGCATTTATGATGTTAACGCTTTACACACAGTGCATTATACAGAAGAAACTAAAGTGCTGTATAAGTATAAAAAAAAAATCATGCATTTTCTTCAAAGGCCTCAATAATTAGAAATTCCCATCTAAAATGTATTAATTCTTTTGATCAATTTTCGATTAGAAAATGCATAGTTTATGTTTTTATTCGCATTACCTTAAATTTAAGTTTGATCGCCAATTGTGCTTCACTCTATATATTTGGGGTCATTATCTGAACTTATTTGGAACAAGCAAATTCAAAGAATTGTGGTCCCCCGCTTTCGGTGTCTTAGTGGGTGAGATATCATTTTTAATGACATATTGTGTCAAATATGAATGCCCTATCATATGTCATTTAGAAATGAAAACCGAAGTCGAATTTTTTTTAAAATATGGTCACTCGTAAAGGTCAAGGAGTCAGAAATCATAGCATGCTCGGAAATATCTTGTCACAGGTAATGCACATGTCAAATATGAAAGCCCCATCTCTTCTTAATCAAAAGTTAAAATGATCAAGATGTGTTTGTGAAATACTGATGACCCCGCAGGCACAAAGCAACGGGGGGGGGGGGGGGGGGGCGGCAGGGGCAGGCCCCCCACTTTTTTTCCCAACATTACCTTTACAAATGAAAATGTTCATTGAAAGGTTGGTTGCCTCCCCCCCCCCCTTCACACACACACACTTCTTACCACAGGAAAGTGGTATCAAGGAAATGTAGTATTGTATTTAAAAAAAATTGGAACTGAAAGAAAGTTGGCATTGGAAAAAAGTGGCCACTAACACCCCCACCCCTCCCTACGAAATAGGATTTTCGACTTTGGGCAATTTCCTTTTTTTTTTTTGCTTGTCAATTTCTACAGGTGAGTAAAAAAAAATTTCTCTGGCTGCCCCCCCCCCTTTCAAAAACGATGCTACGTGCCTGCCCCGTATGGAAACATAGTGAAGATTAAAGTTTTCTTAAATGCTAATTTATATTGGTACCCAAATAGTGTCTTCTCACAAGAAATACGATTGTAAAATATGAAAGCCCTAGCACCACCTGTTCAAAAGTTATGGCCAAGGATAAGTTTTTGAAAGGTAGGTCCAAACTCAAAGGGTCAAAGTTGTTGGTTTCTTAAGAAAGGTCTTCTCACAGATATTACGTATGTGTGAATGAAAGCCCTAACCAATACCGTTCAAACGTTATATGGCCAAGGTTAAATATTTTTTAAAGTAGGTCAAACTCAAAGGTCAAGGTCAGAGGGTCAAAGTTCTTGATATCTAATGAAAGGTATTTTCACAAGGAGTATATATGTGAAGTATGAAAGACCTAGCCCTAACCCTTCAGAAGTTATGGTCAAGTTCTGTTTTTTAAAAGAAGGACAAACTCCAAGGTCAAGATCAAAGTTCTTTGTATCCAATGAAAGGTCTTCTCACAAGGATTACATATGCGAAGTATAAAAACCATAGCCGTTTTCATTCAAAAGTAATGGCCAATGTTAAAGTTTTTAAAAAGTAGGTCAAACTCCAAATTATTTTCTCTTTAAAGAGGGTTTCGCTTTTCATTAAAAAAAAAAATAAAATCCTCTTCAAAATTGCTTTGTAGCAAGATTTGTTGAAATTGATCTCCGTAGATCAAAAATAAGTCAAAGATGTAAAAGAAAGTAAACAGACGGACAAACAGACGGAAAACGGAAAAAAAATGTGATCAGAAAAGCTCACCTAAGCTTCCAGTTTACGTGAGCTAAAATGTGTTTGTGCCCCCGATCGTAGCTCATGGCAAAAGTAAAAGTTTCGAAAAATGCAAAATAAATTCCAAGTTCAAGGTTTACAGGTAAAAATGTAAGTATTCCAGGAAAACACCTTTGAAATACGAGAGCCCATTCTAACAATGGCTACCGTTCAGAAAATATGGTCACGGTTAGAGTTTTTCAAAAGAAGAAACTTCAAGGACCAGTTATAAAAGTCAAAATTGTCTGAAAAAAGAACGTTCTTGCCACAAGGAAATCACAAGTGAAATATGAGAGCCGATGTACATGTACCAACAATTCAGATGTTATAGCCTTGGTAAAATATTTCAAAAGTAGATCGAACTCCAATGTTTACGTCAAAGGGACAAAATTATTCGCACCAAAAATAAGTTCTTTAAACAAGGAAACATATAAATGACCCTATAACATCACATATAAATGACCCTATAACATCAACGAGTCAAAGTTAATGCCATGCAAGAATTATGTTAAAAAAAGTATAAAAACTCCAAGGTCACTATTAACAAGAGGCCCAGGGGCCACAGCGCTCACCTGAGCACATCAGCTAGGAAAAAGCACATATCATGATTTGGACGAACTAGAGTCTACACTACCTGAGAATAATTCTACATAAATATTACTAATCATGGCTTTGAAGTACTTGAAAAGAAGATTTTAAAAGGTTTCCCTTTATATTCCTATGAGAATTAATTTTTGGTCGGCCATTTTGGCCCCACCCTACCCCCGGGGGTCATGATTTGAATAAACTTGAATCTATCTGAGGATGAATCCATATGAGTTTCATCTTTCCTGGCCCAGTGGTTCTTGAGAAGAATATTTTTAAAGATTTTTCCTATATACTCCTATGTAAAACTTTGATCGGCCATTTTGGCCCCACCCTACCCCAGGGGGACATGATTTGAACAAACTTGAATCTATACTGTCTGAGGATGATTCCACATGAGTTTCATCTTTCCTGGCCCTGTGGTTCTTGAGAAGAAGATTTTTAAAGATTTTTCCTATATACTCCTATGTAAAACTTTGATCGGCCATTTTGTCCCTACCCTACCCCCGGGGGTCATGATTTGTTCAAACTTGAATTTACACTATCTGAGGATGATTCCACATGAGTTTCATCTTTCCTGGCCCAGTGGTTCTTGAGAAGACGATTTTGAAAGATTTTTCCTATATTTCCTATGTAAAACTTTGATCGGCCATTTTGGCCCCATTCTACCCCCGGAGGTCATGATATGAACAAACTTGAATCTACACTACCTGAGGATGATTCCACGTGAGTTTCATCTTTCCTGGTCCAGTCGTTCTTGAGAAGAAGATTTTTTAAAAATGGCATTAATTTTTCTCAAATTCATAATTATCTCCCCTTGGAAAAGGGCGTGGCCCTTCATTTGAACAAACTTGAATCCCCTTTACCCAAGGATACTTTATAGCAAGTTTGGTTGGAATTGGCCCAGTGGTTCTTGAGAAGAAGATGAAAATGTGAAAAATTTACGACGACAACGACAACAACGACAACGACGACAGACAACGGACAACGTTTGTTCAGAAAAGCTCACTTGAGCCTTCGGCTCAGGTGAACTAAAAGGTCAAAATTGTTGGTACACAAGGTAAGGGCTTGTCTCAAGCAACAAACTTCTGAAAACGTTCATAGCTTATGACCAATATTAATTGTTTTCAAGTTTAACTTGTAGTCAAAGTCAAAGTATTTTTTAATAATAAAAGTACATGTATGATATATTATACATTCGAAAGATCGTGTAAATCATATGTAGACTAGATACATGAAATCTCCGATTGCACAGGACTTTAAAAAAATGAAACCACAAAGTTTATGAGTAAATTTTGCTTTGTGTCATGGCGCGATACTTTTTCTTTTGATGCTGGTCGGTCGCCGTACTTTGAATCAGATAGAAAACATTTGGCTGAATTTCAAAGTATTATAACCATAACTAGGGGTGGAGGTTTGCCGTACAATTAACTTCCAATTAATGTACTGTACAATAACTTTCGAAATAATTCAATAGTTTTTGAACATTTTTTCTTCAATTTCTGTAAGCTTATAAAACCTAGCTTTATCCAGAGGAAACATTTGAAATCTCAGAGAATCCAAACCCCTTTCAATCTGTAAATGCATACTAGTATACTAGTATGTGACAGGAAAAAAAGTAATTGTACTTGAATGTAATTAATTACATTTAGTAATTGTAAATTTGATTAGTTACACGTCTTATAAAGCCTGTTATTTAATTAAAGAAAAAGTCAAAGTAATTGTAATTTAATTAATTACTTTTTAAAGTAATTGGCCCCCATTCCTGATACTTGAAAACCATATTCAAGAAGAATTTATGTAAACTCATTAGTTAACTGCTTTACATAAAAATTTAAATATGAGTATACGCAGAATTTCAATTCATGAAATTAAATGAGTGTATGGATGAAAGAGTCATCTCACTCTCTCCGGGGTGCCTGTTATGTTGTTCATGCTCTTGTTCATAAACGATTGGATGTGTTTCACCTATGAAGGTTAAATACAGTGCAGTGTAAACTACGTGTATAACACAATGGACAATGTTCATTGGTGAGTTGTTCTCATTGTTCATGTAAGGGCACACCGAAAGAAAGAAAATAAACAATTGGCAAATGACACAAAAAGAATTATATAAATCTCCTATTCTTCTCCTTAAGGTCTCAATATACAATCAGACTTATGCATACACATGTACTCACTTCTGTCGTTAAAAT